TACATAATATTAATATAAATTTATATAAAATATGTAGGTACATGTAAAGTTTATATAAATTTAAAATACATAATATACAGAAAAATATGTATTTACATATAAATTAGATTTTAACATCTAAATAAATATATATTTTATATAGTTAGAAACATATTTCATATTCATAATAATTATATATTTCTAGGGCATATATGAATTACATGCTCTGTTGAATATAATAATATATGGGAATAAACAAACATGCGGTTGTAGTTTGCGGAGCTGCTTTCCCACCTCCTTTGCTCCTCCGTCCGAACACAATTCCCAGGCTCAAGCGGCCTCTCGCCTCTGTCTTTCAAGGCCCAGAGCCCCTCTGAGCACCGGAAGCAGTAATCACTTTCCTGCCCCTGGGATGGGTGAAGTCGGCAGCTGACCCAGGCCACTCAGGCTGCTGGGGGCCATCGTTGGTCTCAGACCTGGGGAGAGGAGAAGGTGACGCAGATGGGGGCACAGAGCAGGCAGGAGAGCATGGGGCCATGCACCCTACGAGGGGCCACGGGGGTGGGGGGCCAGACTGTGCCCGAGGGTGGCCCCGTCATCAGGGGCCGCTGGCAAACTGAGGGCGGTGACGAGCCCGCGTCTTCGGCCGGGAGCTGAAGATGTTCGTGGGCGTTCGAACAGGACAAAGCTGCAATGCCATCGCAGCGAGGGGGCAGAGAAAGGTGCTGACAGCCCGCAGAAGCCTGTGCTTATCTCTCCATCAGAGCTGAAGCCTTTGTTTGCTTAGAACAGCCTGGAATTCCACCCGGGCTGCTGGGCATTTCACTTTTGAAACACAAGACCAGGGAGCGAAAGGGGGGACGGCTCGCCCAAATCCCCCTCCCAAGCGTGAACTTGGTGTTCCTGCCCGGGGGGCCGGCCGCAGGGGCAGAAGGCCTCGCCACCTGTCAGTCTCCTCCAGCCTTTGCTGCGTGTCAGGCAGGGGGCAAGGGCCTGGCGATGCCACTGCTTGCACAGTTCCTCGGTCTGCGGCAGGGCTGTTTGCGGAAAGCGGCCTGGAGTCAGCGGGGTGGCGCCCCCAGCAGTCCGCAGCTGTTTCTTAACCGTGGTGTAGAGCCAGCCACGGGCTCCAAGCTTGTCCTTTGGGAGTTCCCAGCCAGCCTGCAGTGACAGCATGCTGGGAGCTTGTCATATGGTCAAGCAGAGAGCCGGTTGTCGAGCAGTTCCACACGCCCTGGACCACGTGACGGGGCAAGTCCTGCGATCAGACTGGGAAGGTGGAGGAGGGACCTTGGAGGTCGTTCATTCATAACTGTCAACAGCTGTTGGTGGCACCTGCCCTTTACTCATGCTGCTTCCTGTACAGGGAGGGCCCCCCGGGTCCCCCCTCCAGAAAGCCTTTCCTGAAGCCCCCAGCCTCCCTCACCTGCGTGCTCGCCCCTGCTGGACCTCGTGCAAGCTTCTAGGCGAGCTCGGCACTTACCTAGACCCCCCACCGGCTTTGCATCGGGGTTCTGTCAGTTTTCTCTGCATCACGGGAACGGCTGCGGTGCCTGGTGAATGCGTGCGCACGCAGTCTGGCGGGGAGCTCACCCTGCACACCTGGAGCTCACGTCGTTGGCAGATGCTGTGCCAGGGTGTCCGGATCATGCAGTACGGAAGCACAGGGTCACATGGCATCATCTGCTCACCGAGGAACCCGAGGCCCAGAAAGGGCGCCAGTCTCTGCACAGTCCCGCTGGGATGATGACACTCACCCTAGCCCCGTCTGTCTCATCCCAGAGGGCGGGAGAATTCTCTTCGGGAGCCTTTGGGTGCCCTGCACGGGCAAGGCGGTGTCAGCAGGGCCTGACTGAGAGCTGACCAGGCACAGGTGTGGGGAGTTCGGAGTCCACGCCCACCCAGTCCTGCCCCCCTGGGAACCTGCAGAATGCCGGGGTTGCTCCCTCCTCCACCCCGACCCAGCTGAGCTTCGTCTGCGGCCTGTACTCAGCCCCAGCAGGGAAGGCGACCAGGCATGGCCTTGGCCTGCTCCCTGCCACCCCAGCAGCTTCACACAGCAGGTTCTGCTTCCCCAGACTCACATTTGTCTTCTCTCTGTCACCTGTCCTTCTGATTGCCCTGGCCTATCTCTGCTGCTCAGGCTGGACCCACTCCGAGCCTCTGTCACCCAGACAGCCTCTTGCTCACCCATTACCACAAACGCTAAACATGAGCTCAGGTGTCACCCTCCACAGAGGTGTGGAGAGTGAGGGGTCGGGGGTGTGACCCATGGGGAATTGGATAAAGGGAGTCTAGGACCCCATGCGACCCTCGGTATGACAGGGAGGGAGATCACACCTGCTTTGTTTCTGCCCCAGGGTCAGAACCAGGCACAGTGGGCAGGAGGGAGAGGACAGGTGTCTGCCGGGCATCTACCCCGTGCCAGGCCCTTTTCTAGACTCTTAAATCCTCTGTTAGGGACATGGTGACAGAGGAGGACGCCTGGCCGGCAGAGGGCAGGAGCTGGCACTGGCTCCAAGGCCCACTGCCCTGATCCCCACACAGTCTGAGCTGCACACAAAGGAAAGGCTGTAGTAAGCTCACTGTCACTGGTCCCTGGAGGTGGGAGCGGAGCCCGGGGCTGGCCACCTGGAGGGGAGATGCTATGCAGGGAACTCAAGCATCTGGCTCACAGTGGGATTTGCTGAGGTCTGAGGCCCCTTCCAGCCCTGAAACTCCTCGAGGGAAACCCTTGTGACTGCGGCCCCCGCTAACTTCCAGAACGCCTTCTGCTCTCTCCCCAGGTGTCGTGCGCCAGGTGCGGCCCATCGTGGGCCCGTTTCATGCCGTCCTGAAGCTAGAGATGAACTACGTGGTCGGGGGTGTGGTGTCCCACCGAAATGTCGTCAATGTGCACATCTTCGTCTCTGAGTACTGGTTCTGAGGGCCGGTCCTCGGGGCAGCCAAATCTGTAACTCCAGGCCAAGTCATTGCTGCCAGCAACCGAGCCCTGTTCCCGTTTGTGCCACCCAGACGTTTCTCGATTTTATGTATTTGTAGTGTTAGGCGGACATGTATTAAGCTGGGCCAGATGAATAAGTCCATCTGATGTATTTTGGTGTTCAAATAATGAGTCCAATTATTCAACTGTTTGGTTGAAAACCTTGCCTATTTCTTAATGCAAAGGTCAATTTTGCCGTCTTTCTCTGCCTGTGGGCTGGGCATTGCTAAGGACCAAGGAAAGAAAGACATTTTTCAGGGGTCAGTTGTCCAAATGCCAAGAAAGGACCAGTTTTGCCCTGAATGTGTAAATTTTGACATTTGCTCCCTTTTTTTTTTTTTTTTTTTTTTTGGCCAATCAGATATATGCCCTATTCTAAGGACATGGCTGCTGTAGACTGGCAGGAATGATAAATTCTGCCCAGAAGCAGCATGACATAATGCCTCGGGGGCGGGGGCCCTTGGAAGGTAAATTGCTGCTCTGTTGAAACAGAAAAATCCCTTAGTAAAGACACAGCCGTCGGGTGCATGTGCGGCCCCAGTACATTCATTCTCCAGGGGAATGGCCGGGTTTGCTCTGCTCCCTGCTTCACCTTTTATCATAGGTGGGAAAATAAACAGCTTTGTGATTCTCCTGATGGCCTATGCATGGGAGTCTTTCAAAAAGGGGGTTGGTTCTCCACTAGCAGAATCCTGGGAACATCCCCCAAGGCCTTCTCAAAGGCATTCTTTTCACCCAAGCTTCTGGGGTAGGGCCTGATGTGTGTATTAGAAAAGCTTCCCACCCATACCATTTCTGGAACCACGCTCCCCCGCCCCCCACCTGAGAAGTATGCCTCAGCACACTCCAGGCCCACATCCAGCCCTGCTGGGCAATTCACAGAGCTCTGGCTTCTGATCGTGTCCCTCGTGGGCGTTCTGACCCATCCAGAAATCGCTGGGGAGACGATTCTCTCCAGTGGGAAGGGGAACCCGCCACTAGGCAGAGTCCCCGTGTGCTTGGCACGTGGTGCCTTGTCCATTCTTCCCGGCAACCCAGCGAGGTGGGTGCGATCATGTCCACTTTAGAGGTGAGCAAACGGGGCTCAGAGAGAGGAGCTCAGCTGCCCACAAAGTCACACCACTTTTCAGGGACAAAGGGAGGATTCAAATTCCATTTATCAGACTCCATTCTTCTCTAAAACCCTATGTCACATGAAACGTGGACAGGTAGATCTCTGGGGCCTCCCAGCACCGCCCTCCGCGTGGGGCGTGGGGCCAGGAGCACCTGACGCCCCGAGGCCCACTGGAACCCCCAGGGATTCGGCATGCAGCCCTTTGCTCCCGCTCGGCCTCTCCTCCGAGTCCTGCCCTGGGCTTATCCACCTTCTTAGGCATCGCATTTGCAGCTCGGAGCCCGTCCCGTGCCCCAGCTCTTCTCAGCAGCCTGGACCCTGGCAGCGGCTGAGGTCTCGGCCTCACACATGGGACTTCAGCCTCCTCGGGACTTCAGTGTGGCTGGTGTTCTGATAATGCAGCCAGCACTCCTCCAGCTCTGCGGAGCATGGTCTGTCGCCACCTTTGGCAACTCCCAGCATTTCTGAGGTCACTCGTCTGGGGCATTGATCCATTGAAGCCAGGCCCGGGCCAGCCAGAAACAAGGCCTGCTGGGGCCGGGGCATCTTCAGCCGGCGGGAAGGGGAAGGACTGGTGGGCTGGACAGTCTTAAGAAGCAGTTCCAGGTAGGAGAGCACGGGGGACATCTGAGCAGCTTTCCATGCCTTTCGTGACTCGCGGTCTCGGCAGGGGAGGGGTGGGAGCCTGGGGACTGATCCCAGGAATGGAAGCCTCAGGATGAGGGGCAGGAGATGGGGAGGCCACATGGAGTCCCGGCTTCCCACCTGCAGCTTGGGGAGCAAGTCTGCAGAAGCCAGGCAATTCTGGGCCCTCGGAGAGGGACGTTTCTAGGAGCTTCCTCCTCCCTGAGGCCTCCAGGGTGGGAGACACGTTCTGGCTACTTCTGGAGAAGGGCCCTTCCCATGCTCTTAATAGGGGTTAGGGTGGGCGTTGCCATTGGAGGGCAGGGTCAAGCCCTCTTGCCGTGGACTGGCTCTCGGGTGAGCACGTGCCCCAAGCTGGCCAATCATCGCTTCCTGGGGGAGGGCGCTGGGGTGGGAGTGGGCCCATGGGAGGTGGTGAGGGCAGGGAGCTGCCTGGTGGAGAAGCAGAGGTGACTAGAGGGAGCCCAGCCCTGATTCGGAGAGTCAGAGGCCGTGACCGAACCTCGCCTTGGCTGGGGCTGGCAGCATGAGTCACTGCTACGTGCAGAGCCTCAGGTTCTGCACCTGCAAAACGGAGCAGGTGATTCCTGACTGGCTGCCCTGCCCCTGGATGGCGGTGAGCAGAGCTGGAGATGAAGAATGAATGCAAAAGGGCTTTGCCACTGTGAAGTGCTGCCTGCCTGCGTGAGATCAGACTATCATTCGTCATTTAGCAATGATGGTGATGACGATGGTGATGACGAAGACAACGATGACGATAACGATTGCCTCTGTCAATCAAGACACACGAAAGCGTTCTGGAAGCCAGGCACTCTTTTAATTATGCATTTCCTTTTCTTAATTATCAGTGAGCGATTCGGCAGACAGTTATGTAAATGACACATGAGCCTAACTTTTCATATTTCATATGCTCTGGGTTGGGCACCTGATCGATCAGTATCCCATTATTCTTGCGAAGTAATTAGTGCGGGGGCCCAGCGTAGGCTGTTGGGGGACTACCCGACATGAGCTCGCAGGGCCTCTGGGCCCCAACAACAGTGATCCCATCCGCATTGCGGCTCTGGAAGAAAATAATTGAGAGGAATCGGTAAAGGAAAGCAGTTTCTAAGCAGGATGAAAAGGCAAACAGACACCAGGTTGAATCGTTTTTGCCGATCTGGTTAAAGAAGAAACTTGGAGGGAAGGTTCCAGAAGGTCGGTTCGGTAATATTCCACCAAAAAGCTGTGTCTGCTTTGAATGAAGGGAACCTACTGTGATGTTCAGAGGAGCCTGGCATCCTGAAGGGACCGGTCCTAAGGGTGACAGGGCCCACCCGACACCTAGGACTGAAGGAGGTGAGCAAGCTTTTCTAAGTCCTATCAAGGTTCTTAAGTTGGTGCAGGTGAAAAAAAATCTGGAAATCGTGTTGCATTTTTTTCTTAATATTTTACCATGAAAAATTTCAAACATATAGCAAAGAATTTTACAGTCAATGCCAGGATACTCACACCTAGATGCTACCGCCCACATTTCATCAGATCAATTTCCAATTTAACCTAAAAAGAACTCTGCGGGTTTTGTGAGCTGTGTGGCCTCGGGCACATTAGTTAATGTCTCAGAGCCTGGATCTTCTCTCCTACGATGAAAATAGTTACCCGTACGTACTTCATGGTTGTAAGGATGAAAGGGTGATTACATAAAGCACTCAGCTCTCACAGGAAGCCCCCAAGAAGTAAACAGCACTATTACAGATACAATTTCGGAGAATACGCTTTTTCCAATTCGAGTCTAGTGTGGACAAGCAGTAGAGGCAGCGAAACTCCAGAGTTCATAAAAGGCTAGTCTTAAGTGGTTTTGGGTGATGTGGCTCTGGCAGCAGAACCCTCGCTCACTCGTCCAAGGACACCAGCCGCGAGAGGGCCGGGCCGCTTGCCCTGGACCACTTGCTGTGGAAATGGACACCCTCCGCTCACTGTCGCCCTGAGCCCATTCAGATCCATATTCAGGACATAGTTTGCATAGTGTGTCCCCTTCGCCGGCTCTGCTCGGCCACCTGGATGATGTCTGGGTGCCAGCAGCGAGTCCTCATTTCCGGTCGCATTTCCCAGCATCATTTGTGCCCGAGAGCTGGGCTTCAGGAAGCTGTTCGCCTTCGTGCAGGGAGTGGAGGCTGATGTGTCCTGTGTGTCTGGACCCTGCGTAGGGTGGGTGGAGGAGGGCTGGGAAATAAGTCTGGGGCCCTGTGAAGGGCCCTATGGTCACATTACGGGGTTGGTGTGGGACCCCTGAAGGATCAAGACCAAGAGGCGCCCCATTCAGTCCGGGTTTTGGAAAGATGACCTGGCAGCCGTGGGGAAGACTGGGAAGGGAGCGGCAGAGACTCAGGCGAAATGGTTCTCTGATGGGATCACTGACCTGAAGTGATTGAAAGAAAGAAAGAATGAATGAATGAATGAATGACCTAAGAAGTAGATGGAAGGAATGGGCCCAGATGGTGCAGGGTTTTGAAAATGAGGTGGAAGAGTTGGGATCAAGCGGCGGTCCCCAACCATTTTGGCACCAGGGGTCGGTGCTCCTATGACATTCTAATGCCTGAGGCGGGGCTGAGGCGGTGATGCTGGCGCTGGGGAGCGGCGGCAAATACAGGTGAAGCTTCGCCCCCTCACCTGCTGCTCACCTCCTGCTGTGCGGCCTGGTTCCTGACAGGCCACGGACCGGTACCGGTCCACGGCCCAGGGGTTGGGGACCCCTGCCCTAAAGGAATTCCCAGGAAGAGGCAGGATCAGAGGTCAGAGCAGTCAGCGTGAGCAGACTTAGAAAGGCTCGTTGGCTGGTTCCAACTAATAAGACACCCGTGTTTATTTCACATGGTACCAAATACACCAACCAGAAGACAGTTCATAGAATAATAGCACTGGACTCTAAGTGCCTGCAGAAAATGAACAAAGAACAAGCCAGACTGACATTTATCTGCAGGGAGACCAAATCTAGGAAGTTTGGATGATTCAAAGTAATCAGCTAGTCTGACTTGTACCATTGACCCCTTCCCATACATCATTTCATGGGTAATTATAATACTCTCGCTTAGTTAATTGACACCAATTCATACAGGAGCTGCCATTAATAAATAATAATCCAGCTGTGTTAAAAACAGATCACTCACCATCACATGCTAAAGCCTCCTAATGCCCCATAACATTTAATAATTAACTTGTGACACCTTGAACTTGCAGCGGACACTGTGAATCACAGTTGAATTCTCCAAATGGCATGCGGCTAGCTGCCATTTATCTTCTGTGCTCCTTGCTGCCACCTGGGATACTGGTTTCATTAAAGCAGCCATGTTGAGGTGTATTTCCTGCGCTCGGTGCCCTGCTTCTGGCAGGACAGGTAACCAGGTCCCCTAGATGGTTCTGTTCTCTTCAAGACTCAGGTGAAATGATTCCTCAGTGGGAGGGGTGACCAAGGGGACATGCATCCACACTCGAGTATGCCTTATTGTAAAAACACGAGGAAATAACAGGACTAATTCACTCTCTAGGATATGAAATATATAAACCAAGAGATATATTATTGAGTACTGGTTTAAAAATATACACATATACGTATATACATATACACATGCAACCACCGTATCTGTCTCTTAGAGCTGCTATAACAAGTAACTACAAATAGTATAAAACAAGAGATATCTGTTCTCTCTCAGTCTGGAGGCCAGTGGTCAGAAATCAAGGTATAAGCAGAGCTGGTTCCTCTCTGTCAGCATCTGGTGGTTGTCGGCAATCTTTGGCGTTCTTTGGCTTGGAGACGCAGCCCTTCCAAATGTGCCTCCACGGACAGGGGCCTCCCCTCTGGATCTGCGTGTCAGATCTCTCTGTCCTTTCTTTCATAAG